AGAAAACTGTCAAAACCACCTTTCTTCACTTGTCGGACCTCATTTTTCATGTTTTTTGTGTTTCACACGCACTGCGCAGAAGACCACCTGCCCAAGTCAAACAGCAGAGAAAAAGGTGCCAAATGGACCAACATTGCCGCAAAACAAGTAACATAACAGCAGCAAAGCCTTCAACATAGCCCTAATCTAGACCACACGGCCCCAATCACTTCCAACATACCTCCACGAGAAGCCTCAAGAGAGCCCTAAGGGTGAAGTGCTCCAATATGGAAAAGGATATGTCCCAAGAATGCACCAAGATCGCCGAAGATTGGCACAAACATGCCCCGAATTTGACCACCCACTGGAGCAAGCTTTCATAAGACAAAGCAACAAAAACGACCAAAAACACTGTCAAAACCAACTTTCTTACACTTGTCGGACCTCATTTTTCATGGTACATAATTGTTTATAGTGCTTTACACACACTACGCAAAAGACCACCTGCCCAAGTCAATTAGCAAAGAAAAAAGCAGCCAAGTGGACCAGCATGTCTGCAAAACAAGTGACACAACAGCAGCAAAGCCTTCAACATAGCCCTGATCTAGACCCCACGGCCCCAATCACTTCCAACATACCTCCACGAGAAGGCTCAAAGAGAGCCCCAACATTGGGCGAAACGCGCCAAGATGGAGAAGGATATGCCCCAGGAATGCCTGAAGATCGCCGAAGATTTGCACAAACCTGCCCTAAGTTTGACCACCAACTGGAGCAAGCTTTCATAAGCAATAAAGCTCTCACAAACACATTTATTGCACTTGTCCAAACCTTTGCGATGCTGGTTATGAAGGGGGGGGTGGGGGGTGAAAGAGTGACTAGGGCGTACACGGTTGAGGTGCAGACCGCTAGTGTCTTTTATGCGCAGAGTCTTATCCTCTTGTCTTGAGCCTTATGGCAGTCAAGTATGGACACACTAGATAGGCCACTGGAGTGGAACCTGTACAAGTAGGCCTCTACATTTCAGCAGGCACAAAATTCATGTCCACTCCTGCCTATTGCGTATGTCGCACACTATTTTTCTACCGCAAGGCTAAAACAGTCCAGCAAGCTCTAGTAAGCTTAAAAGGAAACCACGGTGCCCTGTACTTACCAATTCCAGTGTTTTACACACTTTAGAAAAGGTAATCTCTAGGTATACTAAATACAGTGAGGGAGCAATAGCTTACTCACCTCAAATACAAAGTCAAAGACAATGTATCTCGGCTGGAGACTGTATCGTTCACCGGCGAAGATACCATGTACCGGCGCTCAATAGCCCTTAAATAGCCAGAGCTTCAAAGAAACTTAAATTCAAGGAAAGCGGCTTTCTTACACAGAGACCTGTAAAAGCAGTAAACGACACTCGCGTAACGAAGAACTAAAAATTCAAGACCGCACAAATTGCAATGAATTAAGATGCCTTGCAAAATGCAAGGAGCGTCAACTCTCGGTCCGAGGAATGGTCTTCTCGAAAAGTGGTCTCGGCCGCTT